TGTAGAGCTTTGACTCAGCGCAGTAGTCCCATTTGCTGCAGAAAGTAAAACTAATCTCAAGAATTCACATAAAGAAAATTAAAGCCTAAAATCATGTCATCTGAAAAGGAACAGATTTTTTGTGATAAAAAGCAAATTAGTTTCTTAAATCACAATACTATGAGGAATTGTTCTACAGATACTACTTTGGAAAAAGAATCAGTGAATGATCCTTTAAGTATGAGGATTCAGCCAGCAATTTTAGATGTCAATCTTGCTTACGGACTAAAAAATGTGAAAATTGAATTACCCAAGGTGAACATTCCAAATGAAGTATTAATGAAACATGAAGTTGATAGGTTTAGAAAACTCTTTCAGTGTAAGCAGCAAACTGCAAGGAAGTCCTTAAGTCTAGACAAAATAAACGGAAGCAATCCTGATTGTTCAGAGGGAAGCCACTTGCAAAATAAACCAGAAGTGCAATTTGAAAAAGAGTTGAAAACTGCAGCAAAGATACTGAATTTCACTTGTACAAAGTGCAAGGATAACATTAGATACAGCCCAAATGATCTGCAGAAACATTTTCAGCTGTTACACTATGGCGAGTTGCCTTTGTATCCTTGTGAGATGTGCAGCTTCTCAGCGAATGACTTTCAGTCCTTTAAACAGCATCGACGCATCCATCGTAGCACTTTGGTAAAATGTGAGCTCTGTAATGATGAACAGATATACACTTTGTTGGATTTGACAAAACACTTCATATCAAAGCATTGCGTAAATGGTCACTTTCAATGTGAAAAATGTGCATTTTCTACCCATGATGTGGGCACGTTTGTTCAGCACATTCACAGACATAAAGAGATTCCCTATAAATGTGGAAAATGCCATCAAGAAAACTTTACAGAAGAGGAGCTCCAAAATCATCTTCTTGTTCATACCAGTATGTTTTCCTTTGGTTGTCATTATTGCAGTTACAGCACATCACGGAAAGATTATCTTTTAAAACACATCATAGCTTTACACAGAGATCACTTTATTGCTAAAGAAAAACTGGAAAAGGATAAATATGAAAAAAGAATAGTGAAGACTCCAGCAGGACTAAAGCTTGTGTTGAAAAGGTATAAAATAGGAGCATCCAAAAAGGCACTCTGGAGACGGAAAGAAATAAGCAGTGGAAGTGACAATACTGGAGAAGAAAATGCACAAGTGCTAAGAAGTGTGAATAAAATTCAGACAAATGCTGAGGAGCTGAACCAGTGTATGAGAGACATGGAAACAAATGAAGAAAAAGATGAAGTTAAGTACACGGAAAAGCGTAATTTCGTGGATGGAATGTTCTCTGCTACTACTGCACAATACAATAAGGCAGATGATGGAACAAGTTACGGACTGGGATTATTGAAAAATGCTGTTCATGGGCCAACAGTGTTGATGGTTAAAAACAATAAAATATCTGTTCCGGCAAATTACAGCGCTAAATTTATGGGCTTTAAAATGGTAGATGGAAAACAACATATTGTTATAAAATTACTACCTACAAATAAGCAAAATGAGTATTTGTTGGGTCAGAAAGCTGATCCTGTTAATGATGGTTCTGCAACTCCTTTGCTACAGACTTCTGATCCCTGTGGTTTGTCTTCAGGTGCTATAGCACATGTAACTGATCAGTCAACCTTAAAGAACAATTCTGTTCACCCATTAACCTCCCCTCTGTTTTCTTGTCCTGCACATCATTCAGGAAAAATAAAAGTGGAAAAACAAAATAACTCCATACTGTATGGTAGGAGTGTTTCTGAAACTGTAGCACCTTCTAATATAGCTGTAGGAAAAAGTTCAAATTATTTGCCAATGAAGTTGGGCTCAACTGTACCTCCACGTGACAAAGTAACAAAAGCTGGAACTCCAAACAGTGTCTCATGGGGAAACTTTAGCCCTTCAAGTCATCCTCAGGTATTACCACCCGCTATGACAAATACACTTCATTGTGACCCTATAAAAATGCCCTTTTTTCCTGAACTGAAAATACAAAATGGTGGCCTGAATAATAGTAATGGAACTAATAATCTCTATTATTCAACTTCAGTGGATTCCTCTAAGGAAGGGTTGTTGTCTTTTCACAACTATTCCAAAGTGGACTCTTTGGATAATCCATGTAGCATTCGGATGTCAACAGATGACAGACACAAAGAATTTGTATCTAGCAAAACCGTTTCTTTTCAAAACAGTGCAAGTGAATCTGCATCTTCATATTCAGAGTCGATGAGAGGCTTAAAAGCAGAGAAAGTTGTGTCAGCTCGATCAAATATTGATAAAACTTACAAACACATAAACACTAAAAATAACTCTGTGTCTTTTAAAAGCCAGTCTAAACGCGGTGTTGACAGTGAGTGTTTTACGGAGGACCAGCATCATGGCCAGCAGTATTTGGACACTACCATAGGTCAAGGCTTTCAGAACGTAGCTGAGAAATTCCAAGAAAATGCCTCTGATTGTGTTAACTCTTTCTTAATGCCTAAAATCACATCTGTTTTCTCATTGCAAAGTGAACAAGCAGCTAATTATTTATCGCCTGAAATAAAACAGATACTGCAAGATGTGTTAAAAGTGAAAACAACTTCTCAGCAAGAGTTCCACAGCAAGACAAGTAACTCTGTAAAACTTCATTCTGACAAGCTGCTTTCTGGTCATGAGGCCAGGAATACAGCCTTCATGCATTTAAAAAGCTCTGCAACTACATGTGGTTTTCAGAGACCTCCTTCTAATGTAGACTTTCATTTATATAAGAGAGAGTGGAACACAAGATGTAGCACAAATGAAGGCACACATTGTGGGAGAGAAAGACAGACATCCAAAACATCATTTGATTCACAGGATGTGGACAAATTATCCATAACTCCGGGTGTTGGTACATTGCTAAAAACTTGTACAGATTCAGTCTTAACACAGCAGTTAGTAAAAGAGAAAGTACTGTCTGCAGCTCAAAATCCCAGCAGCTTTTCGCCAGTTTTACCTGTTCTTCAGGAACAGAAGAAAACCCTTTTCTTTAAGTCTCTTCCATCGGGATTTTTTGTTCCTTTGCACCTTGCTAACCAACCTGGACAACAGGTGGCTTCAGGAAAATCTCTTCCATCAACCAGTTCATCAGATGGGCACGTGACTAAAGGTGTACCTGCATCTTTTGTTTCAAATAAGGGACCTGGAATGATTTTGACTTTTAGCAGGGCAGTTGGAACAGTTGCAAGTGCCGCTAATGATAGTTCTCAGGTTTTAGGGGGAATTGCATCCAGAGAAGTTGGTAAAATAACCATATCAACTTCAAAAGTGAAGGGGGAAAATGACAGTTTTGGAAATGTAAGAAGTTCCTGTAATAGGGAAGCAAGTAGTACAGCACATGATTCGTTGACTAGCATGCCATTCAGAGGACCTCCTGTAACTACAAATGCATTGGAGTCATCTGTGAAAGGAATTTCTTCTGTGAAAGTGTTATCAGAGCATCGGGATGCTGTCTTTGGTTCTTTGGAGTCAGTAAACCAACAGGAAATTAAACAGGAACAAGATGTTTATGCACTTTTGCCTGATGGACAGCAGGGAGCTTTTCTGAAATGTACGACACCAAACAAGCCTGTAGTTCATAAACCAGTTTTTTTTCAGGATAATGCTCATTATCAAAATTGTCAACCAAAGAAAACTAGAGCCATGCAACAACAGCTTTTGCCGAAAATGAAACCTCCTACTTCACGTACACTGGCTGATACCACTCAGTCAGTGAGCAACTCAGTGCCCTCACTACAGGCAGATAACTTGCAGTTCCTTACTCCTGCACTAGCACAGAAACAAACTAATCTTAGTTTTAATAATGCCTTAATCTTACCAGGTGGGTTAATGCCAGCAGATGCCTCTTCGGCAAGCTCCAATCCAGCATGTTGTGTTCCTCCTGTAGAACCTGTTTATTTTACTAAATCTGCAGGGACACGATTGCAAAAAGGTTCTGTTGAGAGTACACAAGTAATAACTGCTAACAACAGGAATAACTTTGGTTGTCAGAAGTCAACATGGAGCACCCAAACCAGAACTGCAAAAGTAAAACCTCGCTTAAAACAAACGCGGTCTAAAAGTTCAGAAACTCGAGGTGTGCAAAGAAATAAGAATTTCAAACGTAAAAGGAAGGCTAGTTGCCCAGAACCTCCAAGAAAGAAAGCAATGTTGCACAGAAAGTGTAAGGAAAAGAATCAAGCTGCAGTTGTTAGTGAATCAGGTAGCCCTTACAAACAAAGGGCATCAAAAAAAACTGTGAGGACTTTGAAATTACTTCCTTTTAATTCTAATCAGCTTGTAAAATGCCCTCGGAGAAACCAACCAGTTGTTGTGCTTAACCATCCTGATGTAGATGTTCCAGAAGTTGTAAATGTAATGAAAACTATTGCTAAATTTAAGGGACACGTTCTTAAGGTTTCATTGTCAAAAAGAACTATTGAAGCGCTTCTGCAGCCAGCCTTCTGCAGTCCTTTGGATGGAACTACTGATGATTTTTCTCAAAAAAGATACAGGACCATAAAACCTATTAGCCCTGTAAAAGAAAGATTTGTCTTAAAATTGACACTGAAAAAGACTAGCAAAAACAATTACCAGATTGTGAAAACTACCTCTAATAATACCTTGAAAGCTAAGTTTAGCTGCTGGTTTTGTGGTAGAATATTTGACAATCAGGATAATTGGGTAGGACATGGACAGAGACATCTGATGGAGGCCACTCGAGACTGGAATTCTTTAATGGAAGGATGACTGGTGAAGAAAATAAAACTTAAATACCATGCATTAAAGTTTTTAAAAAAATATTCAATTGAATTAGGATACACAAATGATTTTGTTTTTTATGTCAGTATTGTAACTGAAGTTCAAAAATGATGAAAAGTGCTTGTGTTTTAAAAGAAAGAGCATATTCCCTATTGGCATCAGCTTTGAGAAAGATCAAGGAGCTTTGTGGTTTAAATAACTTGTAACTAACTGCAAATACAATTCCATAAAAAGATATATTATTTTTTATTACTACTATATTATGTGCTATATTTTTATTCTATCGAATGAATCTTCAGGGCTTTTGTTCTGTACATATTTAAAAATCTCTAAACATGTAAATATTTTTATACTTTTCAGTTACTTGGTATAATTCTTGCACAGAAATTACACCCCATCCCCCATTTTTCAGTTCTGTGCATGCACTACTAAAACCAATTTTTAAAATCTTTTCAAATACACGCAGTTGTTATCCTGGGATTTCTGTTATTTTCACTTATTAGCTCTTGATTTTGTTTTTCAGGGATTGAACACTATTGTTAGCAAGTGCCTCAAAGATGTGAAGCAGTTTACATTATGTCGACTGTGTAACCATGGGTCTGTATAGGGCCATTCCCCCAACAGTTTCATTTAAACAAAGCCATATGTGAATGCTTTAAGCTATATTGCTATGCACATGACACTTGTACTATTTCTGTGCAGTTTGTCTACTTTCTTAGTGAAGTATTTTTCATATAAATTAATAAAATGTTACGTTTGTGTTAATACGGTGAGTCAGAATAAAGTCGATTGAAAATATACGGTATATATATTCATAATGTGTATGGTGTTAAAGAATGGTGAACATTCCTAATCTGTATTGACTTTGTCTCTATTAAATTTGCTACAACTTGTGTTTACAGAAGATGACCCTGAGCATTTATAGAAAATATTCCTGTCTTGCTATGTCTGCCACAAACCCAGTATCGGGAAGTGCAAAGCACAATTTCAGGCCTTTAACTGCGTTATAGTTTTGTCCCAGGTGGATGTAATTTGTTTTCTGCTATTGGTTATTCAGATACACTGCCTTTTAGGGTACCAGGGGTTTGGCAAAAACAAGGCTTGTATCACATCTCCCTCATTTTACCAGCCAGTAGGGTAATGTTCTTAGGTGCCTCCTGGCTTCCTGCTTAGACTTTTTGGGATAATGATGAAGAGAGAATATGCTTCACATTTTCTTATGTTTATGTGAGGGTATGTAAACCAAAGTCCATATCCGTAGTGACTGAGAGTACACAGATGGAGGTTCTTATTATCCACAGTAATTATGTGTAGAGGCTTTGTCCTTCAGATTGTTAATAAGGCTGGAGGCTAGAACATCCAAACCTTTTGCCCAAGTATGGGAGGATTACGTCTTAGGTGTGCAAATCAGCTTCCCGAAGTATTGATGGAAAAACTTCCAAAATTGAATACTGGGCTTGGAGAGGACTGGGGTATTTAAATCTTGAGGATTTTAGATTGTACACAAGCCCGGGTAGTTCTCTGTGACTATTTCCATAAGGTGAAAATGAAGATTGCCTTGCTACCAATGAAACAGTTTGAAGTCTTTCATGGATGTCACAGGCATGTCCACTAACCTGAATTCAGCTTCTGTTTTAAAAAGTGTTAAAATGATTTAAAAAAAAAATTACTTCAGTGGCTAGATATGTTTTTCTTTCTTTATGTGTCTGTTGGTAGGAAGATGCCCACTCACTTGTAGCTGGTGAGTTATGTATGGGAGTCAACTGAAGCAGTCAAGGCAGCATAGATTGGGTGAATTACAAGTTGGTGTGCGTTGGTATTGCATACAGTTGGTATGTGTTTTGTATCAAAATTGGATCATTTTGTGCTGGGTTTGAACTCTGACTATAATTTGGCTAGGAACTTTGAAGATAAAGTGTAGTGGTGAGGAAGTATGTTGGAAAGAAACGGGATTAGGAAAGGACAAAAACATGTTAAGCTTTTTTGAGTAGAAGGATCGAGCTCTTGTCTGCCTCACTTTACTCTCCTATAAACCCTGAAACTGAACCTGTGAATTTTGGATATTGCCTTTGCTTTCTTTGGCAAAAATATCTGTGAATTTTTTTGCTAAACCTACTTGGTGCCACTTCAGCAAGGATGACCAGTTTCTGTTAATTACTTAGCATCAAGATTGAAGTTCTGCTGTAGAATAGGAGGATTTCTCTATATTTACGAATCATGAGAGTGACAATTGTCACTGGAATTTTTTTCTCAGTGGCTTGTTTTCCTATGAATTGAGTAACCTTAAGTGGTACTGTGAAGAAGAACACTGTAAAACTAGGAAATGTTGAAATAAGGTTGCTTTATACAATCTTAGTTCACTGTTGTATCACTTTATCCATGCACATCCATCTAATTCATTCTGTAATGGCTGCTCGATCCACAGCACTGGGATTTCTGATATACCATACTTCATCTTGAGGGCCAATTTATTTTATGTCCAGAATCTAGGAAACATTCCTTTCTTCCTGTATAAAACACTGAGTATAGTAAAATAGGTGATCCCATAGTGGTAGGTTTGTGCATTTGGTGGTTTGGTTTTTTTTTCCCCTGTAGAGCCTTATTTTGTGCCTAGGATGTTCTCAGGCTGAACGGATTATTTTGTGGAAGGTGGTATTGCCTATCAACTCCCTGCCTAATTTTGTTGTCAAAACTATATGGTACCCCTGTAATCATGTAGAACAGGATAAAAGGAAAAGAAGGGTTTGAGAGTGAATGTAACTGCACCTTTGCCTAGAGCATACTTGTTATTTGTAAGTCAGCAACAATGTTACATGTAGTGCTGAGCACTTAGAGCCCGTAGACAGGAGCAGCAGTGCTTTAAAGTGCTCAGAAGTGCTAATTACCTTAAAAAATAGATACTTAATCTCTCATATGGAAGTCTGTACCTACGCTTGAATTTCACTTGTTTGTATCTTTTTCCCCCCTGCAGTTCTAGAATGATGGTGGTACTACACACTTAACTCAGAAGGCAGTCTTTGAAGAAGTTAGACATTTGTGAGGAGCAACATAGAAAGGTTAGCAGGCAGACAGTTTTGTTAGTACAAAGTTTAAATACTGTGCAATACATGAGTGAATAGACAAGGACTCTACTTAAATTTTGAGTAGCTGCTTTTTCACAGAGTACTTTCCATTGTGAGTAAACTTTTAAGGTGATGCTTAAAGTAGCTAAATAATATGAGTACACATATAGAAGGAATAAATTAAACTTGCAGGAACTACTAACTTTTGTTAATTTTGAGACCTTGACTTGGCAATCTTAATGCTCTAAACATTACACAGGTATGAGCGATGTACTAAACATAGCATTTATATAGTAATGTGAACAGACTGTCGTAGCCAGGCTTGTGTAAAGTCTGTATACATTATTACTTGCCAGTGTATTACTTGCTTTACATCTGGGCTAAGTATCGCCTGGGTTGCAGAGGGAAGACACTGAGATGCTGAACATCATACTAGCATGCAGTTCTTTCTAGAAGACAGGTGCATTACTTGTAGAAGTAACTGATCAAAGGCACAAGAAGGTAGTTGCAGAATACAGCTACAATATGGCTCTAAGTGTCTTGCTGGGACTTTACAAGTCTTGACTCAATTTTGCCTTAAATGCCTTGCAGATAATCCTAGAAAATACTGCCTAACCTGGAACAAAAAGAACAAAACGTGAGTATAAAGTGACAATTTTGGAAAATACCTTTAAGATGGATGAGTTTTCAGGTCCAGTGAAATCAAACATCTCTAGAACTAATTAACAAGTGTTCCTAAAAGTTTTTCATTGATGCAGTTTATACATTCATCAAATTAATTTTTACCCCTTGAACATTGTGCAAATTTACTTGGTTCACACAATAATACAATAAGTAAAGCATGGTGATAGAACAGGCCTGAAAAAACGAGTGGATTTTTGTGTGTGTGTCCATAAACAATAATTCTGCAAGAATAGAGTGGTTAATTACTTTAGCAATGAAGCAGTGCACTTGAATCACCAACAGTAGGTAATCTGAAGACAAAAGATTTGAGAGCCATTAAGCCAAATATATAATACATGCAAAAGCTGTAAAAAGGGATGGTTTTCATAACAACTCGTGAAGGAGCACATACAAATATATACATTAAAACATCAACAACAGTGAATTGGTGCTTTCTTGCTGGAAAGATACCAAGAGATGAGATCCAGCAATGTCTATACACTACTGACTTTACAATATTTTTTATTTTATTTGCACATTTGAAAATATAAACAAAAATATCAATGAAACAGGGTAAAGCTGAGGGAAAGGACAACACATGTCCATTAATCTGTAACATTCAGGCACCTCTGCAGCCACTGATCACATAAAATACAGTCAACTTGTGCACGGTGGTACATTAGGTCGATTTGGTCTAATTTCTGGGGCTGTGCACTTTACAAAGAAATTGCTGAAAGCAGTGATCTGTGGTAAACAAATTGAAAAAGCAGTGAGTATTCTTGTTTTCAAAATGAAAATGTCCTACAGGATATTTGTCTTTAAATAGCAGTCAAAGGACCAGGCTGTGATATGCAGTTGTTCTTCGCCTGACTTTGGATACCTGTGTTGTCCCAGATGGAAATCACAGATGAGAGTACATCTGCTTTGGCTTCTTGTGTTAAAAGTGAACACTTTTCTGATAAAAGTGATGTAGGGTTGAACTCTATGAACTGCATCTCTTACTACTCAGTAGGTGCTCTTAAAGTTTTCCATTATTTTGGATTTTCTTCTTTTAGTACCTTGTCCATGTCTTCAGATGTTGAAAGAAATGATTAAAGAAGACTTCATTTTAGCAGTTCAGTTTGATTAAGAAACTCTTACAACGTGTTTCAGTTTTGTTGAGTCTTTTGTGTTGTTTTGGCTGTCAATTAGAACCAGGGAGGTGCGCTGATGATTCTCTACTATTTCAGCAACACTGTCAAAGCGCTGGATAAAGAAAACAAAAAATAATTAGTGCTGGCTTCCTTTAATGCTTTTTTATCTTTGTGTCTCACATCACTGAAGAGGGCTAAGCTATGACTATTACCAAGTAAGACGCTCTACCTTTAAGTAAGAGCACTGATCCTGCTTTAATTCTGATTCTAGTAATAAACACATTAAATCTGGACCGTGGAAGATATTATGGCCACTAGCTGTCTCATCCTTTCCGTTTGTGATTGTCACCTGTAGAGACTGAACCACAGAGTTTGTTACAGGCCACGGTAAACTGACACTGCTTTGATTTTACCTCAGTGTGTACTAGACTGCAGACTGGCAGTTTGGAAGCTGCATAGATGTGATTCAGACACCTCAGAGGGAAGGCTATCTCCAGGATTAACATGGTACAGACAGCCATCAATGAGAACTGTTCTAGTTATGCAGCTGTAATGTTTGTCACAGTAAATTAATATCCAGAATCCGCTAGATCTGTTGCTTTTTCTTTTGGTCTTTGGTCAAATACAGATTTTGGACTATCTATTTATCCTGAGGTAATTTTTGACCCTTTGCTGAAGGCCAGGTGAGTTCCAGGCTATTATTTATTCTGTAATCTCAAAACCATTGCCTGGGAGGCAGATAATTAGGCTAAGGTAAGTTTACTTTCACATTACTGAAAAGCCTACTCTGTGCAGTGATAACGAACTGTTTTTATTGGTATTTGGGTTCCACGTTTCTGTTTTCCTGTCAGAACAGTTACCTGTGTGGTATAATAGCCCACCAGCAATTCTTTTCATTCTAGAACTAGAGTTTAACATTTTCTTTATGTGAAAACAGTATTAAAAGTAATGTCAGCCTCATTTTTGATTGCGTGTTGGGGGTTTTCTTGAGTGTGGCTGTTCTTTTAAAATTTTCCAAGAAAGTAGAGCCTTAGGTAGAAGGTAAATAGAGGACTGTAAACAGTCAGAAAATTTATCTAGCAGCTGTAGCTCTGATTCTGTTAACTTTTTTCAAAACCGTTCTACAAGTATGTTTTAAACTTGATCTGTGGTTTTAATTATAGTATGCAGGAGCTGACATTACACTGGTTTCTCTAGCTTGACAGATCAGTCATTATAAAGGGTATACTTTTATCTTGTTACATGAAGAATCTTACTGCAATATATCTTAATCTTTTCTTATTAAAGGTATGTAACTGAAAACTTTGGAAAAACACCCCCTCATCATCTCACCTCTTCACCACTTTTTTCTCTGCCCAGTGCATATTGTCTCGTTGATTCAATAAATCGTATAGGAATGTTGTACACTCTTCTGTTGTAAAACACAACCAGTGTGTATGGTTGCTGTGAGTCCTGTCCAGAACTCTTTCTTATTAGAAAAGATCCGTCCTGAAGAAAGAAAAGTAAATATTTGGCTTATTTTTTTCAAATAACTTAGTTTGGTTTTAACTTAATATTTTAATTTATATTGGCATTAAACTCTTTTCTCCTATTAGAAAAACTGTACAGCAGCAGATGAGAAGTAGCATGTATTCCTGCTGTCTAACAGTAGCATACAAAGGCGTCATTTAACTATCACCTTTGCTGCTGCCTGTTCTCTCTCTCTCAACCAGAGAGAAAAAGAAGAAATAAATACCCAGTGGCAGCCATCTCTCGGGGTCCACAGATTATTAGGAAATAAAGTTACTATCAGTGGCAGTAAGTAGGCAAGAAAGCAGTGAGAGGTGGAGATACTGTTTCTCCAGAGCTGTAAAAAGCACTCTCAAAGTCAAGCACCTGCACCAGTGACACTGTAGCCCTGTGCTTACTAACAAGCAGTAACCTCTACTTGGTGATAAACCCTGTGCTCTACCACTTCATCTTGCTTTGTGGAGTTAGGCAAGTGTGAGAACGTATCTGATGCTGAGGATGCAACTCTACATGCTACTATTCCCTCCAGGGACACTGGCTTTTTTACACAGAATAGTTGAGAGAACTCAAATTCTCTAAGTACCTAAATGCACAGTGTTGATATTTCAAAATGCATGGCAACCTCAGCTTTTCCAAATAGAAGCTGTTTTCACATGAGCCACTGGACAGTGGTGGAGGTCACTTAAAAGTCACGGGGCTTTGCATTTCTTTAAGGGATGCTCGTGAGCTACCAGGTCTTCCTCAGCTCTCTGGTCTGTAATAGTTTTCTCCGCACGGCTCCCGTTATTGAGTTACACTGATGCAACTTTGTCTTGTGATGAAAACCACAGTTAAATAGTTTCACCACAATAATTACAGGTTTGATATTTGACAGTACTTGCATGGCACAGTATTCTGACTTATTCAGAATACAAGTGATGTTCTTAGAATATTTCTGATTGTCTTTTGATCTTTTTTATTTGAAGTTTTTTCTTCATAAACCAGACATTTTTTAAAAGTGACTTACCTTGTTTGATCGGTACAATGCATCTTCTGCCATTTTCCTATCACAGGTAGCAGCATACCATGCTTTACTGTGAACACCAGCATCCTAGAAGAGAGAAACAGTGTTTTACCTGTAAAATAATGATGGTAATGAATATGGCCTGTAGGGGCCACTTCTAAATAACGACAGATGTGAAGAACTAAAATGCAGAAAACAGAGTTGAGAAAAGTCTTTGCCATGAGCTCACTGTTTTAGTTGGATAGAGATAGGACAAAATAAAACTGGAGTGTCAAAGCAGTGGTAACAGATGTGTGATAGAAGGCTGATAAATGACGAAAGAGGGATACTCTGAGGAAAGCAGTCAGGTTCAACTGGAGGACAGTTTGGTATTTTTAAAGAAGAAAGCTATTCTAATCGAATTTAAAGAGGGTATCCAAGAAATGTTGAAGAATAAATAGACTGTCAACAATTTAAATGCTGCTCAGCTGTGGGCTAGCTAATGAGGTGTTCAGATTTGGTAGGCATCTTTGGAAATGATGTTTCCTGTATACTTAATGCTACTTGTGAACACAATCATGATTGTCTCCACCTGGATATCATGAAGGTTGGATTAGTGCATATTTTGCTCTTTTTGTTGTTATTAAGTAAGGACAAATGGATTCCTTACAAAACTTAGTAATAATTAACGTTTTTCCTCTAATAGTATAGCAATTCAGCCCACAGTGCTTTCACCCAAGACATGGATTCAGTTCTGATTCTCTGTTGGATTGAGCCTGAATGTATCCTTACATTTGAAGCAGTGCTCTTATCTAAAATGCATAAAACTACGTTTACCTGTGAAGAATGATTATATCTGTGACCAAATAGAAGAGCGGCTTATATTTTATAACATATTTCTGTTGTAAAATATTCCTCATTTCTGTATGTTATCCCCTGTAAACATCTCACCAAGATTTTCTGCCTTCTCTCCATTCTGTTAAATGCTTGGCAGTGTGCTGTACAGCAGATGAACTTAACCTATTCTTCCAAAGGGAAACATGGGACAAAGGACTACATGGGTGTGGGCATAGGTGCAGACCTAAAGGTACGTGGTAGAAAGACTGACACCCTAAAAATATGTGAATTCTATTTTAGAAGATAGAAGCTCTCACAGCAAAGGAAGTACAAAGATAAAAACATGTGAGGAGGTGATGGCAGTTGGGAGTGGTACAAGAGTAGAATTTGAGTGAGAGAAGTAATGGTAGAAAACTGGGTAGTAAAATGATGCAGGAATGAGCATACATTTGGGGAACAGGAGTGGAGTTTAGGGGAAAGGTATGGAGGATTTTAGAGAATTCTGAAAAGGAAGGACAGGATGAGGGATTAGAAGCAACATGAGACCTATGCATTATCAGACTTCAATAGCTAGGAGATAAATTAGTAGGTTATCAAACCAGCAGTCCTGAAAAGTGAGCTCTTGCTGAGGAGGTTGATGTAAAATCTCAATCTGAGTGGAAAGGCTATAGAAATAATGCTAAGAGTATTTCCTAATGAATACATCTGGGTATTAACCTTTCTGGTTATTTGAACAGTTTTGCTCCACCTTTACAGTAACAAGCTTAATGAGAAAATTAATTTTCACACAAGCTTTGTCACCTCTGGACAAAACAGATTAAAGCTGAAGTTGCACATTATGGCTGAACTGGTCTAGCTGGATTATTGCTGCCAAAAAGAGAATGTCTTGGCTTCTCCTTTGTGCTCATTTTGTTGCTCATCTGATCCCATGGTGAGATAATTCACCTTATTAATCTTGCATGAAAAAAAAAAAATCTGTTTCCCTTTTTGTTTTGCCTTGTTTTGTGTTTGACTGCCAGGTTGGTTTTCTGTCAGTTTAATGACTTGGCTCAGGCCACTGCAGGATCAGAAAGGAACTCCAGAGAAGTCTGTGGCTGGGAGGGGAGTTGACAGTAGGAGAGAGCGTTGCACTAAATTCTTAAGACTGGCTCAAGCCATAACATGTAACTTTATCTTCAAAGTTCTTTCATGTATTTCTTCAGTCACACTATTCATTGGAAAAAGAAAGGATGAGAAGAATTGCAAGTATGAAAGGTACTTGTCCATGTAGAGAATGAGTCCAGCAAACAAATCTTTTGTTCAACAAAACAAGGAGTCAGCTGCCCCCAGACTTTTCTGCTACCACTATCTGTAGCCTATAATGAAGAAGCAGACAGCTGCTCTCAAAGTTTGAATGGGAACCAAACATACAGTGAGCCTCGGGAATGAATGACATCTGCGAGCACCTGTATTGTGCAGGATGCTACAGCAAATTATACCACTGTACATAATTGGTGGAAAAATAACATTAACAGTTAATTTTTTTTTTTTTTACAAAATGGATGATTTATTAAGCTTTGGTTTTGCCCGTGGCTGTTACATAAAAAGTACAAATGTAATTGCTACAAGCTGTTTATTTAGAGTCTACTGGATTGTTTATTTGAAAGTTATTTTTATAATAAATATCCAGTATGACATACAGTTAAAATTTTCCAGAACTTGAAATCCTTTGTGTTCTTCACTGTTGTATTATCTTTGTCATGTCAGGCTTTAAAACATTTAATGTCACTGGCTGTGCATGATAGAGCCTTTGTTTTACACTCACCAGAACTACTTTTACCTTGTTTGTGACTACTAAGCTAGTAAGAATGACTTCCTGCATTTTGTAGTCTCCCTTCATCCAAAATGAGAGTAAGGCAAATAGTACTGAAATGAAAGTAACTTTGCATTTGCTTAGATTATTCAAGGATTAATGTTGAAACAAAACACATAAAAGAAGATTTGGCCATAAAACTGACAGCATTAACTGTAATGAGAAGAGATCTGTTTAAAGGAACAGAAAGGAGCAGGACTTGAGAGAGACTAAAACAAATGGAAGGCATCACAGCATCATTGTCTCTGCTTACTGCACATTATTTTTTTTTTCTGTGCACAGTATGTACAGCTATAAGTTAGAAAAAAGGAGGCAACTAAAAACTCTTTATAGCCATCTATATCAAAGACTGGACATACACATCACCATAGATTTTTGTGTTTCATTGATGCTGGAGGTATGAACTGGGGAGTCAGGAAGACACAAAACTAAGACGTTTCTTTGAATTTTGTTTGAAATGATTGATAGAGTGCCAAGGTTTGGAACACATTTTTCTACAGTTTGTTAAACCTCGCCTATGCTATATGTTCTAAGCATTTTTATAATGCAAGTTAACATTCAGATTTTTTTGTGCTACAGAAAATATTCCCTGCAAAAGGGGACAAACACTCTCCACAAAAACAGTGTCATTTTTAGTTTGAAGGGGAGTAGGGATGGAAATACTATTTTAAAATAAAGGATAAGAAGATTTCTGTAATATGAAATTAGCCAATGTTTTACCTGGTCTGCAGAACTTGTGATAGATGAAGTGCTGCTTTGAGGGGAAGGGCCCAGAGAACGGTTTGCAGCTTCTGGCACTTCTAGAAAAGAGAAAGAACAACACGTATAAAAGTTTTCAAAGTATGTTTGTTATAATGTAAGAAATCAATTTGTTACAAGATCTGGAAACGCTTGACCTTTGATATCACTCAGGAAAGCTGTCTGCTGTAAATGGATGGGGCCTATAGAAGTGCTGGGACACTTGCCTGCCCAGAAGATTAGCCTTGCTTATGAAGAGAAAACCAGTTTGGTTAACAATTTGTTTAATAGCCAGATCTAGACTCAGCGTATAAGAAAAAACTCCACCACCACCCAAGTGAATGAATGTAGCAATAGATAAGAAAATGCAGGAACACAATGCAAATAGCACTCAGTCCAGTGTGAGAAGTAGTCATATAGGTGAGGGAGTCATGAAAATGAATGTAGCTCAGAGATAATTTTTCACTAATTCAGTCCAACTGAATTGTTTGTATTCATGTGCAAGAAGCCCAGGCTGCTAAATAGAGAAGTAGAATTAGTAGGAAAGATTATGAAGCTTGATTATAATTGTAATAACAAAGCATTGTAGAAAATAGTTGTTAGGGCTGAAATACAGATGTCAGAGTTAAGGAAATCAGGAGCCAAATGTTTGAGTGGTGTTGCTTAGTAATATGAGAGAAATATGGGAAATAAGTATAGATAATTGTTTTCTGGTAAAACAGAATCTTGGTCCAAGAGTATAGGTGTCTGCTATGGGTACTTCCAGTCAGAGTTAAGTGCAGATCAATGTACTAGAGAAGATGATTGTAGAAAGTTAAGTGTTACTTATTTTGTTATTATGGGAAGCCTTATTTCTCCTATGTGTTTTACTTATTGGGGAAAACAAATGCCACTAGGATTGTTAGCACTCACCTATTCCTGGACATGATGCTCTGCAGACTGCATTATCAAATCTTCACTAATATAATTCTGACTTAGATTTCAGTTTAGAAAGGAATAAGAATGTTATAGATGAGCCCATATAGTGACCAGAGTTAAAAAATTCAGTTGGACTGGAGAGCTGAGAGACAGCTGTGTGAATTAGGTTTAAAACTTCCTTTGTAGATGCAACTGTCTGGAAGCTGCATTTCAAGTGGAGGGGAGACATTGTAAGTTCCAGTTCTCAAGGAATTAGAAACCACTTGAAGAAGGATATTCAATATTAAGAATTTTGGGGTTTTCTCTAAAGTTTTGACTGACCAGCTGCAAAAGCTACAGTTGAAAAGTAGATTGTATAAGTAAAGTAAGAACTGCCAGAAGTCAGCCCAAATTAGACTTGACAAAAGGACATTGAAATAAGTAATAAAAGATTCCCTAGCTGTGTGAAAAAGAAAAGAGAGATGGGGCTTCATGCAGTAACAATTATATTGATTTTAAAGGTAATCTAGGTACTAAACAAATAGTAGTTCTGATACAGAAATGGAAATTTCCACAATGGAAGCAAAGCTTAAATAACTTAGTACAATTGAACTGGTGGGCCCACATAATCTTTACCCCAGAAATTTCAAAAACTGGCACATGAAATTCAGGGGTGGTAACAGTAATTTTAAATAATTTTCAAGTCAGGATGGTACCATATGATTAAAGGATACCAAAAATAATTGCTGTACCTAAAGTTGGAAAAAGTGAGCTGAGCATTACAGGCCTTTCTGTCTATTCCACAGAACAAGGCCCTAGGAGAGACTTTGAAGGAAATAACATTAAGATTTGGAGGTAAAGATACAACTAGTAAGACAAAATCTGAAACTTACCCAAGTAGATAAAATGTTACAGCTCTTTCATAAAATAACAGAGTTCTACAAAGAGGGAATATGGCACTGTACTTAATCTGGACTTCAGTGGAGCATCTGATACTGTGCCATATGGGGAATAAGTCCTTTTAGTAGAAAAGATAAAAGTTAGCTCTAGGCTTGTATGGGGACAAAGAAAAGATGACAGGTTATGCTGAAGGGACATTAGAGATTAGGGACCAGTTGTATGTGTGATAAAGTTGTTGCTGGACCTGACACAGAAGAAGATGATGTTAAAGAAAATTTACTAATCAGAGCATCATTTAGCACCACATGAACTCAAAGAATAGTTACACTTCAGAGAGCAGTAAGAATTTATGCTTTAAGTTGAAGCACATCAGTTGTGTGACAGGAGCAGACAAACTTAAGAGCATCAGTCAATGTCATTAAGATGAACCATTATTATACTTCCTCAGCAGAGGAGATATAATTGCAACATCCATCAGGCAAACAGTTCCAGGAAATAGATGCACTAATAGCAGCATATAAGTTTAAGCTACACCAAATGCAGATTTCTATGTACAATTCTTACCATTTATTTACAGTGTGAAAGATACGTTGAGGCTGAACACGTGGAGAAAAGGGCTTATAGGAAGGTCAGACAAGTGTCTGCTCACAAGAGACTAGAAAAATGCTAAATCTAATTTACACTTCTGTGCAAAGAGAGTAAATATACATATTACCTAATTTAACTGTGAACTGAAACAAAGTTCCTCTCAGAAAACAGAAGAGCTTTAGCATTTGCCATTATAAAAATATTCCCCCCCCCCCCTTCCTGTAGAGAAAGAATAAATTGGAGGCAATAATAATCCGTCTGTCTTCTAGGCAAGAGAAAACTGGAACAGCCCAGAGATGTCATATTTAGGATTCTTTTGTGGCAAGGAAGATTGATGGAATCTTTATTATGATGGGAAATGGCCCAAACTGCCTTTGGTAGAAATTTCCAGTAGTCATAGATGGAAATGAAGCACCCAATTTCCATCAATTACCCTGACATACTTCCTTAATTTTACTAGCTGAGCTAAGACCCCGGATACTTGATCTCCTCTTTGTATGCATTACAGATATATTAATTCCAAAATAATTAATATGCATGGCATATTGAAATAATCTTAAATCAAAGATTAATTTGAAATTACAAGTTAATCACATATTAATTCAAAAACTGAATTATACTTACTTGGCAGAATTGAGAACTTTTGGAGCAGAGGTCTGAAATAAATATCAAGAGATTACAGAAAGGTCTGAGGGGATCTACCCTGATCTGATATCATGAAAATTGTGTATTTGAAGCATGCAGTGATAGAATGTGTTCCATTTTACCCATCTGTCCACTGAGAAATTAAGAGTCTGATACAGGTATTTAAAAAAATTATATCCCACTAGTACTGAAAACAAGGAATTTAAACCTGGTTTAAATCTCCATTACCTTCCTTATGAGATATTATATCCTCCCATGCTTTTTGGTGATGGCTATAGTATTTGGATGCATTCATTTGCTATGCTTTATCTTTGTGCTACTGTGAGGCTTCAGGAACCACAACTCTCAACAGAAGGCTACAGTGAAAAACAGTGCTTCCCTTTGAACCTCTCACAGCTGTGTTCAGAACAAGCAGCAGGTGCTGGTGCCCTGAAATACTCAAAAGATTATGGAAAGAGATCTTACTTCTGTGCACCACTTGGAAGGGGTGGAAGTGGAAGCTCTTGATTGGAACTTCGTCGTCGTTCTGCTGCTGTAGGTTTTTCTGTGGTTTGGTAAAACAAATGTTAGCGTCAAGATTTCTTCAGAAACATATTGTCCCAGATAAGAGAGTTCCAGCAGTTGAAGGAGGGTTTCTTTTGCTGTAACGTTTGGGAATTTTCCTCACATGGCAGCTTGCTATCGCGCTACTCTCTTTGTTAATTAGTGGCATGCCACCAAATTTCTCGGCAAATAGCTGTGCTGTGGCTGCCTGCAGGGTCGCAGTGGGACACTTGCCTTCTGAGAGGCGAGCTGTGTGACACAGGGGGAGGACACTGGGGCAGGCTGCCTGCAAGAGCTCGGCTGGTTGGCTGCATCTCACCCTGGTGTCAGACAGCAGCTCCTGCTGAGCCTTTGCCTGGAGGAGCAGAGACGGGATGCAGTTTGTGCCTGTGCCAGGAGTCGGCTCCGTGTGAGGTGGTTCTGGCTGAGTTCTGAGTGATTCGCCTCCCTTCCCTCCTTGCCACTCAGAGGGCTATATGGCACATTTCTGGTCCATTATTGTCCTACATTACCCCGCCAGTAACCTCAATAGTTTTACTGTGACTGATTTCAGAGAACAATGATATTCAGTGCAGCTCAGGCTGGCCAGATCCAGTCTGAAACGGCTGAAACCAAACACCCCTCAAAAAACCAGAATAAGTTGAAATGCGGTGTTATTTGTTTCATGTTTCTAATAAGAAGGAAGTTTAATTGTGATAAATGTCAACTTTTTCACAGTAGTGGAGATAATTTACCTTCATTTGCAGTTAAGATCTCTCTGGAAGGTAAACATGGTTTCTGCAATAAAACAGAAGGACACCAAATATTAAATGGCATGTCACTAGTACAGCAACTGTTTATGTTTTTATACTTTTTGTGAACTAGTTTACATGTAGACTTGACAACATCCTGGAGGAATTAGGAGGCAGAGACACAGCCATTCTCTGAAGAGCCTCTTAATTGTACAACCTTGAAGCTCAGGATTTTGCAAAATAGATTTGGAAAGAATCCCAGTTTGTGGGTATAAATAGACAGACAAAGTAAAATCTGGAGACGTGTTTGTTTTTTTTAAACTTCCATTGGTAAGTTTGTGGTGTAACAAATGATTCATTCTTATCTCAGGCCCAAAAATGAAGAGTCTATCCCTTTATTGAGCTATGCTCACAAATTTCTGAACAGCTTTCTTTTTACTGAAAGTTAAACTATCAGTTTAACTCACAGTAAAAACTCAACCAACCTTCCAGTTTCAATTTTTTTTTCGTTTTGAAACAATGATAATAAACTGCCAGTTTTGAAACACTTTTCAAATTAATTTATTTGAAAATTTTAACCAGTCGTCTTACTTTCTCCCACTAGAGATTTTGCAATATTTTTATAATGATGAAATAGTTACTGAAAAACCTCTAACAAATTTGGTAAAATCCTGCATATTTCTTGACCTGTCACTCTTACAATGAACTCATGTTCCCCATAGGCAGTCCCATGTATTTCCAGGAATACTTCTGAATGGCCTGTGTTCCCATTTATTTCTCATTTATTCAGGTCTTGCACTGTGTTTATTGTTACATCCTGGAGTATTGAATCCAAATATCCCTTTAATCAAAATACTTTCCCACTTGAGCTTTCTCACTGCTCTTAGTTCAGGTAATGGCACCCAAATATTTCTTTTCTTTATAACTCTCTTCCCCCTCATCTTTTTAGGCATTTAAGTTGTACCCAAACATATGATAAAATTAGGTTTTACAGTACATTAAAAATTTAATAAAATTATCATTTGGTTATGCAATTACAAGTCAACTTACTGGTGAATTTACCACATTAGAAGTTTTCTTGCTGAAGATTGGAGGAAAAAGAAAACAAAAAAAGAGTATGGTTACTTGGCTGGTACATGAATTCATTTAGCAATTAAGGATCAGTTTCATTGATTCTCAGGGTGTTTCTATCTAAGATGGGATGCACTGGATAGCTGTAGGACTTAGAAACAAAAAAGAATAAGAAAAGAATTAGGGTGTCAGATGTAATGTGGGTATTTGGGAAAGGTATTTATGCAAGGAACCTGCAGTCTGTCCAGTACATAAGATGACAACTTGGGTGGGGCAGAAGAACTTTAATGACAAACACAACTAGGCTTGCATATGCTAGTGCTGCAGTATGAGATTAAATTAAGCAAGCCAGCATCTGCCATAAGTGGCAGGCAGTGAAGGGCTACGCCACACAAACAGTATTCCTCTGGAAATAACAAAATATTAGCTTGCCTTTCTCTAGTTAGTCTCAAACAGCAATAAAAATTATTCCTGAATTCCAATTGCCATAGGCAAGGATAGGAGTTAGCTCCTAATATACCTATTAAAGCACTCCCCATCAAAGAAGTAGTTTTATTATTTTTTACTCACAGGCCCCTTGGTAATGGAGATGGAGTTGCTCCAGGCAGAAATCTGGATTCTTGTGTGTTATTGAATCTCTGACCTAGAGATGCAAGCAACATATTAAGTACACAATATTAGCTGTATCTGAACAGTGGATTTTCCCCACTGCCATTTTAGTGTTAATGTAATAAAAGTAAAAAATATCCATTGGTTTAATTTTTATCTTAACATATTTTCACTCTGATTATACTAGAAAACAGTTCAGTAACATTTCTTGCTTGTTGCTCACCATTACAGATAAAATTTACACTGACACACTACACTGCATTCCATATTAAGGTCACCAGTGGCATATCAATCCCTCTCATATTGCCATGTTTTCAATATGGAATACTTACTCTCATCATTATTGTTTGCTTCGTGGTCCTGTAATGGAAAAATAGGTTAGATTTGATATGAAGGAATTAAAAAAGAAATTACTGTGTACAGTTTTGGGTCCTTCACTACAAGAAGGACATTGGGGTGCTGGAACATGTCCAGAGAAGGGCAACAAAACTGGTGAAGGATCTGGAACACAAGTCTTACAAAGAGTGGCTGAGGGAGCTGGGGTTGTTTAGCTTGGAGAAAAGGAGGCTTGGGGGAACCTTATCACTATCTGCAACTACCTGAAAGGAGGTTGTAGCCAGGTGGGAGTCGGCCTGCTCTCCCAGGTAACAAACAATGGCCTCAAGTTGCACCAGGGGAGGTTCAGATTAGATACTAGAAAAAATTTCTTCACTGAAAGGGTGGTCAGGCATTGGAACAAGCTGCCCAGGGAAATGGTGGAGTTACCATCCCTGGAAGTGTTCAAAAGGTGCGTGGATGTGGCACTTGGGGATATTGTTTAGTGGTGAACACAGTGGGGCTGGGTTAATAGTTGGACTCAATCTTAGAGGTCTTTTCCAACCTTAATGATTCTTTAATGAGAAGTGCATAAATAATCAATATGGCTTTGGCATCTGTAGTGATTTTTAAAGCAATATTTGTACAGAATGCATATAGCATCCGTAATATTTTTAATCAGCTTTTAGGATGTAATTTGAAAAATTTAAAGCAAACATCAAAGTTCAGACTTTCTAATAATCTTGAGATTGCCTGTAGTGTTGAGAAAATTGGGCCTGAATGTTGCAGTGAGACCTTTTGGTTCATATTTAATTTCTGAGCTGGAAGACAGAAATTTTGCAGCAGATTTGAATATACTAAAAACACATCTTCCACTGAAAGAAGGAAACTGAGTAAACTGTCTTTACACCATGCTAGAATTGAAGCAATCCAACTAATTTCCTGGCTTCTTCTGGAGATGCTTACTTTTGGCCCTCATTTCTTGTCTTGTAGGGAATCGGACTCCCATATGATAAGTACCTTTCAAAGAGGCACCAGGTATTAATTTGTCCATCTTCATCTTCCCAGTTAATGACTTTTCAATAATGTTGGTCAAAAATGCATCCATTCTCTGGTTGGAGAGGTGTAATCCATCATCCAACAGTTGGGGAAGTGAAACATGGAGAAATTATTTTCCCAGTCAGCCAGGGCCTTTGAGAGGAACAAGGGTTACAGTTCTGTGCACGTGATCAGTGCTGGTTGGTGTTGACAGTGGATTGAATGGGAGCAGTTAACAGATGTTTCAGTTATTGTTTGCTTTGTCACTGTGCATAGTCAGGGATGGAAAAGCACAACACAGCATTTGACAAACATCATGCTCATTACCATGTTTTTTGTTTAAATCTGTAAGGGCTGACCACTTACACAACAAGCAAAGACCCTAAAATTTGGACTACACTGACTAACTCTTTCCTAGGCTGACTCTTGTGACAAACTGGCTAACTGCAATGACCCAGGAGCTGAATACATCCATGGTACAGATGAGCGTTTGGGAGCTTCATCCTTGGAGCTGTAACTAACTCAGTATGTGGCTCCAGCAAAAGGATAGTCTCCTTTTACTCTCTGCAAAGCTGGGATGATATCCATCTCAGAGCTAAACTCTGACAATACGTTAATGGAGAGGTTTCAGCTGCAATATGGCACTTGAGTCTGTTGTGAAGCAGGAGTATTCTTAGTGCTACTCAGATAGTGGAATTTGTGTCCAACACTGTCCCTTCAGAAGCATTTTTTTCCCCTAATCTTCTGTTGGTAAGAAAAGCTGAGAAACTGTTTCATAGAAGAGAAATCGTGACCTTGGCAACACTTGGGAATTGTTCAGCATCCCATGGGATATAGATCTAAATGAGAAGAACTTTGTGATGGGGTAGAAGGGAAACTAAAATGCTGATAGTGTTGTATGTACAAAATACTTGGTATATATAGAAATTGAAAATAAGACTCATATACCACCTGCATAATGTTACTATAACATCTAATCCTGTGATATGACCCCAAATTCCTAATTTTGAGTGTCTAATTTCTCTATATAGCTATTGGTAGACTGATTATTTCTTAGGTACAACTCAGACCATTGGGCCAGGATACAGTTTGATGCACATGGCTTTTGGCACAGCTACTGATGCAGTTACTGTCAACCTGTTTCTTGATAGCTGGCTCCTCATGCACACCCTTTTGTGCTGGAACAACTGTGAGTAGAGCTATGGTGCAAAACAATTTATGTAACTAATCTGGCTGAAAAAGAATCTTTTGTGCATTTGCTTTTGCTCATTTCTGCAGTTAGACAAGTTTCCAAGTAGTTTGCTTCAAAAAACCTTTGTTCCAGCACAGTGGAAGGGACAGACTGGGGACAAGAGTAGAGGGAGAAGAGAATTGACTGAAACACAGCCTTAGGAACCCAAAGCTTGTAATTAGCCCTTCATGGACTGTATTTTCTAGTGATACTGGTTACTCAGACTACCCAGTCTGACATTTTAGAATGTTTCCATTTTCAGAAAGCATTAATCACTCATCATCTGAGAGGAATGAAGCTCAAGGAAGGTACTTCAGACTGGGTAAAATTGCCCTTTACTACTTAATGTTCCTGGTGTTCAGCTGCTATTTTGTAAGACAAGAAATTATTTTTGTGGACTGAAAAATATATCCCTTAAAACATTTAAACTTTTTCTTGGATCAATACAGATGTCCAATGCTCTTTTGTCCAAAAGATTAATAGCAACAATTACAATATTAGATGAATATGACAGAGTCATCTGTTTCTGTTACTTAATCCAGATAATAAAAAGCATCCATCTATTTATGTATAAAACACAGCCCAAGTTTAACATATTCTTTTATAGTAGTCCATTGATTACTCACTGGTTTTGGATGAAGACGGCTTCTGGGAAGAGGCAAAATATTTCTGAAAAATATAAAAAATATTTCTGAAAAATATACAAAATAAATGGAGTAGGATTTATTTGTGTAATTTCTTGGCTCAGATATGCTTTTCAAGATCTAGAGATAAGGAGGTCTCCTGTAAATAGTTTTAATTCCAGCTATGCACTGCTGCAGTGGCTGTGGTGATGCTGTGCTCTTGGTGTGGAACTAATCTAGAATAGCTTCTGTCCTGACCTATTTTGTAAAGCAATGTCCTAAAAATGAGACAGTGGTTATGAAGCAGCTTCCTACACTTCTAGGGACACAGGAGTGAAGTAGGCTGCATGCTCAAGTATACTTTTTCTCTTTTCCTCCAGAGGCTTGGAATACAAATTGTGGATTTACCGTGTCCAGTTTCTTTACAAGCAGTCCTGTGCCCCTGCAAAAACATTGCATTTGCAGGGGTGCAGAGATGGCTAATAAAACTTTAAACTGGCTTTCAGAGATATTTTGTCCCTGCACTGGATCCCTAAAGGGATATTCCAGAAAATACTATCCATTTGGCAAACTGGCTTGACTACAGAAGTTCACAAGAAAACTAGAGCTTTCAGTTCTCATCTTGTCCCAGTGAGGGTCCTGACAACTGTTTGTTGTCAGAAGGCTACACATTAGAGAGGAGAAAATCTTCTCTCTGATAATATTTCCTGTTGATCTAAGCTGCTGTTGACTTACCTGCAAGTCTCCTGTTTAGGTGGCTCTCTGGTCATACTGTGCATGTGGGAGTGCTCTGTATTCTTAGCAGGCATAGACAGAAGTGGCTTAGTGAACCTAGTAATAAAACATGCATTAAGAGATGAAAATTATAGTTAACAATTGTGAATACAAAGAAAACCTCTCTTTCTCCTCCCCTACCCCCTCAAAATTCTAAAAAGTACCCTTAAGAGGTATTTCTTTTTAATGTGTTGTGCTTGGGTTATTGAAATTAACATAGAAATGGTTGATAATTTTTGTATAGATAATCTAAAGAGATATTTACTGCACATATATCTTCTAGAGAAAGAATTATCAAACATGTTGTATCTAGATAAGAAAATATATTTTCTGACAAGTTTTAAATAATGCACAAACATTCACAGCAATGGGTTACCTGGCTACCGGTGGTGGTGGTGATGGTTTTTCCTGTAAGAGAAAATGCACTGAATTTTTTGGTCACTTTTTGATTTTATGAAATACATTTGTATGATCCTATTTATGTTACCACATCAAGATATTATTTTTGCATTGTGGTATAGATTTCTATTAGAGCCTGGTCTGGTAATCTGCACTAGGATGGGAGAGGCAAGAACTCAACACCAGTAAATCTTCTTTGGCCATATTATGTCAGTACCAGCAAGTGGGAAGAAAATTACTCTGTCAGAGCTGTCATTGCTCCTCTGTTGCAGTTCTGCTTCTGAAAAGCATCCCGTTAGGCTGCTGCTTCCCAGACTGGATAACTATCACACAGGACTGGGAAATTTCTGCCCCTTCCCATTTACTCTGTTCTGCAGACCTTTAGAATCGGTCTGCCAGCTTTTCTGAGAAGGGAGTGTCAGAAAGTTTTAAGTGCAGACAGAGATTTGTTCCCATTTTTCCCCTTGAAAGACTGATAATCTTTTTTCGCAATCATATTTGTACCCTGCCTGAGGGCAATGCAAGTCATACTATAGAAAGGCCTCACCTCTTCTTCAGGAACCTCATAGACTTCTGTAGGACAGGAAGGAAAAAAAAAAGTGTTCTTTGGTTAGCAAAAACATACTGCATGTTACCAGAAAAACTAATCTGTTTTTTATCAGTTGTACTTCTGACTCTGGAAAAATAACTTGGAGAACCTGCTCAGAACTTGATTCCACCTCCAGAACTCTGGAGTAGCAAAATCCCCGGTCTTCTAGTGGAAACTTCAGGAAATGTCCCAGGAATTCTGATAAACAGTCACTGTATTAATGAAGTTTCCACCCACCCCACAACCTTTTTTTTTGTTTTGCTTTTCTTTCTTTTTCTCCCCAAAGCAAGGTGAATGTTTGTGTTGTACAAACACGGGACAGTTTGGAAAAAATGTGTTATCACACCTGTGCTAGCATTTAGCCTTTCCTTGACTCTCAGGGAGGAAGAGATAGGTGAATCATAAATACAAGCTGGTGCATTTGCGTGGCCAGCATCCATTCTCTGACACACAGGTATGTTTTAATTCGTAGATGTTAAGAGCAAAACCCACAAGCATTCTTATCTATGTTCAGTTTCTTCAATGAAAATAGAACCCTACTTCAAAAAATTTCACGTCAGCCTTCCTCACTTTGTTGTGCTGAAGTGTTTGAGTTCCCACCAGGGGGAGATGTTTTATTTTTAGTAACGTCTGTCAGGAGCTGGTTGTTGCTTGACACTGATTTACAGAAAGGCTGAGATTGAAAAGGGCATTTTAAAATGTCTGGAAAGTAACTAACGAAATCTTAAATCATTCAGAAAGAATTTTAGTTTATGACTTGTAGTTTGCAACTTGAAAGCTAAACGTATTACTAATGAATATGCAAAGCTTTTTAAAGAACTGTCATAAGTCTGTAAAGGTTACATTCTAAGCAATTAATGGGATAATGAGGATACAAAACAACTCTGAGTTGGCACTGGAAGATTAAACAAGTATGTCTGCACTTACAAAAGCAAATAGGATTCCTCTTATTTGCTTCTGCTTTTTTTTTTTTTTTCCAAATAAATTGCTCTTTATAGAACTTAAATGGGAACAAAGGACAAGCAAAACATCAGCCTATAAGGAACTTCTATATGGTTAAATCCTGATGTGGTCAAAGTATTAGGTCTTAATCCCTATAGTGAAATGGGATTACTAACATACCGAGCCCTATAATTGTTTTTACTGTACTGATCTATTTGCATTCCTCCACTAAAGCAAAAGACTAAAAATGAATTAATTTGGGCAAAGAAGTTGCTCTACTTTTATTCATGCTTAAAATGGATTTACTATTCAAGCTAGACAAAGCAACTGCTACAACAGAGAAAAACTAAAGAGGAACATATTTAAGTTTTACTGATGTATGTCATAAGGTTTGTGTTGTGAATATATTAAGTGTAATTTAATATTCCTCAGTCTTAGATTATTTTCTTTTAACAGTGATAGAAACTCCACATACCTTGCATATCAGAAGTAAGAGAAGGCTTTGGAGAAGTAGGGGGGCCTGGCTTTGTTGTCTTCATAAATCTGTTCCCAGGAGCTAAAAACATATTTTATTCATGTACATACATACTCGTGCATGTGTGTGTATTTACATATATATTTATGTATGTGTACACATCTATTTATATATATATACACATGTTAACAAACTAACAATGGAACAAATTAACAATAAGAATGAATATTAAGTAGGTCCAAGTGGTAGCCTTTTTGTGTGACCTTGAATAAATCAATTGAGTCAGAAAGCAGCTCTTATTTTAAAAGGGAAACATTATTCAGTGTTCATGCCTTCCTGAATAGGTTTGATACTGTCAGTGATGTCAGAGAGCAGAACTACTTAGTGTTCTCTGTTTGCTTTTCACCTTTGGGCTGTAGTAATTTCACTCTCCAGCTAAATATACTACAAATAGTGAGATTAAAAACAAAATAAAAAAATACAATCAAAGTCTGTCTTTATCTGAAATATTTAAAAATGTTTGTTCTCCTGAGGCACTTCAGTAAACAGAGAATTTTAATGCTGTAGCTCCCTTGGATGTTTAGGATCACATGCCTGGTTGTACAAGGGCTGGACTTAGAAATAACTGAGAGAGGCAGAAATTAAACATGGCTTCCAATAAGGTTAAAAATAATAAAGTTAAAAATAATTTTCCTTGGCCTGGTCATGAACCAAATGCCTTTTTACAGACTGTGTTTTCTCTAATAGCTGCATCTCCACTCTTTGAACCCTAGAAAGAGATATTAATTTGATCAATTTTTTTCCACTGTTGTTCCTAAGAACACAATAATTATTAGCTTAAATGACTAAAACTCACATTTTGTAGGTAGTGACATGCTGCTTTCTGTGGGTTCAATATAGTTATCGTCATCATTGTCCACTGGCACAATGTAATTATCCTGTGAGAAATGCAGGACAAAAATCTACCAGTTAAACCTCCATCATATCAACAAACTGTTGGGATTGAAGCAGTTTACAACAGTTGTCATTTCACAGTGACTGCTATTTCAGACATTTATCATCCTATGTGGATGGAATTCCCAAAGACCGAAAGCCCTTTACCAAATAATTCCAGTTCTAGACTGGTGGATGAAAGCCCTCCTCCCTTCCCTTTGGTACTGGAGTAGTCTTTGAGGTTACTGTCTCCCCACTGCCTGCAGCTTGTTACGGATGATCAGAAACTACTTTGTGGTCTAAAGAGCCTCCTTGATACTCAGAGTAGGCAGATATCCCCCAGGGATCAGTATGGTACTCACAGGTCACTGTGATGTACAAAGTGATTTGTCCATAGAGGCTAAGAAAGGGACCAGGTCATGGCATTGCTCTGATCTGTCTTATTGGTCTGGAGTCATCAAACATTTAAACAGCCAAAACAAGTATATATGTAAACTTTACCTCATCATCACTACACTCCTTAGGCTTTGGTGGTACTTTTGGTTTTGCAGCAGGAGACGGCAGTGGCAGGGATGGCACACATGGTTTCTTTGGTCTGGACATGGCTGGACTGGGTGTACTTGGAAGAGGTTTGTTGATGGGAGGAAGCTGCTGGTGACTGGTGCGATTGTCTTTTAACGTGGAAAAAACCAACAATTTTAGGAAAAATTACACATTAGCCTCTGCACTGTCTTCAACTACCTGTGCAAACAAGTCTTTACTTGTGACTGCAGCTCAGGTCAAAAGGCAGACCTGAGCATAGCTGGTCCTGATGTTGAGACTTGTGTGTAAACTGGTCCTGCCACCTTCATTGCTCAAGGTGGCAACCCACTCCTCTGTAACAGGCTGCAGAGGTTACTTAGGCACTGACTGTTCTATGAACAGCTGTTTAACTCCTTAGGGAAACAAGGAGTTACACAGCTCACACACCTCATGGCTGGGTGGTCCTTTTGTTAGTATGTCCTGTGCTGGTATGAACTTTGGTGATAGGAAGTGAGAAAGAACGTATCTGACATATGAGAAAAACAACTGTTACACAGCACAAAGGGTGGGACTGGAACATAAATTATGCCAGGTTCTCTGGGGTGTCATTTTAACAACTGCCTTTACAAAGAACACATAAACGAAGTGCTGATAAACTTCTGTGAGTACATATGTGGTATTTTAGCACTTTGATAAATATTCTGCAACCAGTAACAGTCTTGTATCATACCAAAGTGAAAATAGGCATCATGTCAATGTTTCTTTTCCACGTCTCAAATCTTCATCTATCTGAAGCTAACTTTCATTCACTTCAGTGCAATCTTTCCATGGTTGAAAATAATGGAAACAGAAAGAAAAAAAATGCCTCTACACTGGACGGATGTAAATAAAATCTTGATCCTGTCCTGTTTTTCAGGATATTTATCATCCTTAGTACCAGTCTTCAAGGACAATATGAAATGAATATTTGGGCTACTTTGTCCTCTGTTTTTGGAATAATGATTGGAGAAACAGAGAAGACTAAGAAGGGACCTGTCTAGTCTTCTGTGCCCAATCTTTAATATGAATTCCTGCATCCTTGTGTGTGGATTAATCTGGAGCCAAATTAGTGATCTCTCCCATAACTTTGCTTGCATTTTGTAGTTAGTAGATGTATATTAAAGTCTCTAGGACACATTATATTAAAATTCTGAACTTAACTACCATCAATACTAACTTGTTTCATGCTGTAATAATAAAAACCCCTACCCCTGAATGCTGAAGACCTGACTGTCAGAGTTAAAAGCAAACTCTTGAGGAAAGGACAGGTTAGTCTATTTGAGGCCACATCTCTTCTGGTACTGATCAATAAGCAATTATCAAGCTGACATAGTCAACTGTTCCATAACTACCTGCATATTCACCCCTAGAAATAGGAAAAGCAGAGGGAATCTTCTTTTTCTCCTTCTCACTTGGAGGTGGCTCATAGCTGTCATCAGGATTCTCTTCACTGGGGACCACATACATCTCAGAGTCAGAGTGGTCATCTGGATTTTCATAATCACTGTCCTAGAAAGACAGAACTTCCCATTTTTCATCTCATAACATATTTATGGCTTCATAGCAATGTACAACACAAATATCCTTGCAGGAGTACAATAACTAAATTACAACAAGCTATCCTTGAAAGTACACATTACACTCCCTTTTAGTGCTTCCTCTTTAAACAGATGGGTGCTTCCACCTGCCTCCCCTTCTGCTCCTCCCAGGAACTTCCTGCTCCCTGTCTTCTTGTGATCTCCAAGGAGTCCTTTCACCTCAAGAGCTGTCTTCAAATTATGGATCAACAGCTTGTTTCCCTTCCCAGGACAGTTCCTTTCTAGTTCCAGCTGGGACTCTTGCTGTGTCTTGTCACTTCCTCTCCCTTTCCTATTAAAATGGTAATCAAGATCTGACTCCAGAAGGAAATTGGTCACTTCAGGCTGACAGTTGCACCATCACTTTACATGGCTGATGGCCATGGCTTGCTTCATTCTAGTGCTTTCTAAAATCTTAGCAGAAGTTTTTCATTTTTAAGAAGTGGCTTTCCTCTCCTTACCCTTCCTACCCTCTCTCCACCAAGTAAAAGATCTTACTGGTTTCTGAAATTATTGTTCAGTTTGAGAAGTCCCTCAAATTGATGCCATGTGCTTACGTATCCAAAAAGCTTAGTGTCCATGGCTGCCATTGACAGTGCTTCTGAAAGTACTTCTAAGTTGAGTGTAAAAAAAATTGAGCTGGCTAAAAGTTAGTGGCTACTTGTGAATAAAGCTGATGTGACAAATAAGGTAATATTTCAGTAGTATTAAGTTCAACCACAACTAGATGATTCAAAACTAAACTTTTCTTATTATTTCTTGTGCTAACTTGCTGCTACAGTAACCTTCAACTACCCCAAAATATGTACTTACAAAATCATCTGACCATTGTTCCTCTTCATTGTCTGCATGTTCTAAACCAAACATAAGATTATTTAAGGAGATGGAAGAGTGAACATAGATGTTTATCTTAGATTGTTTTTTCAATCTATACTTATCATATTCAGTTTAAAAAGAGTGGAAATAATTTCCTAAACAGTTTGAAGCAACACATCTGTCTTGCTTGTTTTTGACAAATTGTTTCAGGGCTGTTGGGAAAGCATTAGAAAATGCCAAACTGCACATGGTCCAAACAGCAGAGCATGTACTTTACCCACAGTGTCCTGCTAATGCATCTCATTTTTAAGTAGGGGTGACAATTTCTAGATAACGAAACTATTGCTGACCTCTGGGCTCTGCACTTTCTTGGATAAAGCTCCAAGACAGCACACTAATTACAAATGTTGATGTTTAACACGGTACGCTTATCTGATAACTTCCAAACTCTATTCTCTTTGCTTCAGTTATTGTCTTAAAAAGATGGCTGTTAACATGAACTAGTCTGTGGGCAGTGCTGTATGATAAGCAAGTAGAGTTCTACCTCTAAGGTAATTCATGATGTCAGTATTACATTTGTAGTGTTAAGATTCTGAATCTGTGATGATCCATTTTTTCTTTTTTTTCCCCTACTTACTTTCACATCAGTTTCTACCAGGGAGGGACTGGATGCAAATTCTCCTCCATTTTTTACAGCAGGCTGCATACAGACAAAGACTGATTTTGAAAGAGTAGCTACTTGCTGTTTTTTGCTAGCCTTTCATTTCAGAGGCGTGAACTACCTTCAGAGTTGTTGTTAATGGTACTCTGTACTCTCATTAAAAACAAATTAGGAGGCAGTGTATAACTGAAATACTGTTAGGCATATAGATAACAAATTTACATAGACATGCAGTTTAAATTTACATTAATACAGCCTTACCTGTAGCATAATCCCTTTGTGGTAGACTTGGTGGTGGCTTTTTTTTAAGGCTGTAAATGATAATTATTACATTTATGATCTCATAAGTGACATTCAGTAGAAGGGAGCTTTAGCCAGACACATAAAAAAGCTGATAACAAAAGATACCTGCAGCTGAGGAAATACAGATTACCATCACAGATGCTTAGCAAACAGCTGTAGAAGAATGCTTTGAAAAGCTAGAAACAGATAAGATATTAAAATATAATCTGATATTTTAATTCTTTTTTTCACTTAGAACATAGGTTGAGAGAACAGCTTCCTTGCTCACCCCTATCCTCTTCATTTCCAATGCAGAAACAGATAACGTAGGGGATAGAGATAAATGCATGTCTATTGGAAGATGAAAATCTGTTCAGGTTCAAAGAGGTTTTCCTAAGAGTATGGCAGAAGAAAGTGGTGTAGCACTCTCCATTTGTGTTTTTAGAACTATAATTTTGCATGTACTTTATTTGCTGATTAATGTTTAAATGTATACCAGGTCTCTCAGTGCCAGATTCTGTTTCTACTTATTATTATTTTATGATGTTATGGCCCTTTTTTGGTAAAAACTGTTATAATGGCATTTGTAATACCAAGCGAATAAAAAAAAAATTTGTAGAAAGACTGAAAGGATATTTATGGCTATACATATTCATATGTATATGCATGTGCATGTATATATATTTAGCAAGCAGAAGTACACATATATGTAATATATATGTATACACATATATACGTAGGTATTCATATATACCCCTCCTTGCTAACTTGCAGCTGTCCAAAGACACTGAATTACAGTCAGTTGAATTATTTCATTCTCTCTGCAACAAAAGAGAAGAATTCGGGCTTAAGGTCAAGATGGAACGGTGCCTGGGTGACACCAGAGGCCAGACTGATACCTCTGAAGAGGAAAAAACCCAACCCTTTGCTTTTTGTAGCCAGATAAAACATTAACACAGTTAATGGTTTTAAAAATGACTCTTCAAAGTGACCTTTGAGCATTGTCTGACAGCTCCCCTACAGCACTGATGAGACCCCACCATGGACCTGAAGCTTTGTCCACTGAATTGATGGCTTCACTCATTCTTCAGTCAGGTCCTAACAAATTCATTTGCAAAAATGAGCAAGTCATTTTAAAAAGAAAGTCTACGAAGAATTTAAAATGCTTTCTTGTGATCTCTGAGCAATAGTGATGTCTACGAATTTTGCTTTACCACAAGAATTTATCACTCCATATGTAAGTCCTGAGCATGCTGCTCAGGTGTCATTGTTCAGATACCACTGTAACTCTGGGTGGAGGCACTAACACATCAACTGAAAAACTTTTTCTATCTGTTTTAAGAAAGGCTTTGGCTACTCCTGAGTTGAATTCATGGAATTCTGTTGTTCAGATAGTCACCAAAATCAACCATGCACATGCATGAATCAATGAATAAATGGTGCAGGCATTGCTAAAGCTCAAAAAAGACCAACCGCCCCCTACCCCAAAAAATAAAAACCAATCCAGGGAGATTATTTTTGCAATATTAACCTGCTTTGTTTGTTACTAACAACACTAATGATGGATATTGCCTCCTCCAAGATTTTAACTTCCTTCAGTTTAATATAACAGTGTACAAACAGCAAATGAAAAAGCATTCTCAGCAGCCCTGCTCTTGTCTTCCTCCGGGTTAGCACAGCCATGTTAGAAAGAAAAACCCAGGGCCACTGCCAGGGCACATCTCAGGTCTTAGGGAGGGTAGACCAAGATCTATTGATGTACTTTGCAACATGTCTATCATGAGTTGTTCAGAAATGGTGGAGACTTGGAAAATACTGGAACTGAGGCAACAGTAAGAGGCTGTCTGGGTCATGGTGTAAAGTATGTGGCTTAAGCAACATTACACATTTGTAAGCTGCTAAGCAGAAGGCTTCCATACTTTGTCCCAGGCCCTGTAAATCCTGGCAGTGGCCCTGACAGAAAATGTCAATACGTTATAACGAAAGCATATGAGGTACAGAACAGAAGTCTGTGTCTAAGCAGCCTATCGTGCTATTGTGCAGCTATGAAATGGCATACCGATCCCAAGTATCTTTCCCAGTTTTGCAAATTAAGGCCACTTGTTCATTTTGGAACCTGAATATCAATAGAAGAAAAGAAATTATGTTTCTTTCACAGAGCTGAAACAGTTCATGGCCACATCTACATTTGCTAGAATCTCTTCAAATATGTTATTTATTCTAAAATTCAAATCCACTTAAAAAGTAATTCTCACTGTATTTATTGAATGTCAGATCCGTAATCCAGGCTCTTTTGAAGTCAGCTGGAGCTTCACTGTACGGGAGCCAGAACTTTACCAAATGTGCAAACCACAACACAAGCTCAAAAGACATAACCCTATGGCAAGGCGTGGTTACATAGCTATTTCAGATTCTGACATCATTATCCACACAAATGCTCGCAAAAGGGCAATTGACTTTGTCCTGTGTCCCTGAAGTAAATGAGGAAGCACTGAAAGAACCAAATGCTATATAATTTAGCATACACATTTAAGTGTATTTAGTCCTAGTATATACATTTTAGCTTCAACAAATAACCAAGTAGCATTTGAGACATTTCATACAATGGGATAAATGCCTCTCACACAAGAACAAAATGCATGGTACAGAAATTCATAACAACCTGAAAGTGAACAAGCTATTCCATCTTAAAACAATGTATTCCAAGATTGCCCCCCTATAGCACACTAAAACATTTAGGCATGTGCTTAACTTTTCTCACATGCGGAAACTGCAAATATTAATTACATACTTTGAATTCATAGCATGTTTTTGTTTTCCTATACTAATGGAGGATTTTTAAATAAACTGCAGGAGAGGTCTGGGTGTTTTGCTCTAACAACACTTATTTGTACAGGCTACACCCAGAAAAGTAACCAAACATAGGTAGTAGTAGTAGTTCTTTCTGTGTTGAATTTAATTCTCCCACAGATGCATTTCCCCACTAGTGTTTCTGCTCACACCCCCATCATTTAAGATGCGCCTGAAAACTCTGTTTTCAAAAGTCCTTCACTTTTTCTATTGTTAAATCTGTACAAAGTCCACTCCCTTCTTAGAGACCATTTAAACTTAATAGTTTTTACAAAAATTATACTGATAATCTTTACTGAGTTGAATATTTATAGTACATATTAGTTTTAAGTGCACTAGATCATCACACTTGTGATTAATCAAACTTTGCCAAAAACATTTTCAGAGTTCCAAAAGGTGTGATCTAGCTGACAGATAAACTTTTCCTGAACTGTGTTCTCATGACCTAGTGGAATAGTTTGTTATAGATTTGGAAGTATGTGGCAACTGTATAAGATAAAATTAATCTGAAAGCTTTTTTGGAAAGTCTTATTACTACTCTTTCACATATTTTCTTTACAATGTGCTATGACAGTGAAATGGCGTCTAGCTGTGATTTATTTGTCTTCACTTTGATGAAATATTATTACATTAATAAAATCCCAGCACTCAAAACATTCTATCCAGCTACACAGTGACTTTCATGTTTCTTCAGAATAACAGTTAAAATTAGGTATGATATTTTTTGCTGTTTTCTTTTCTAAGTGTGGTACAGCTTGATTTTAGTACATTTCTCTCATTGTTTCGTTCATAAAACACCACTTTTCACTCTGCCAAGAGTTGGATCACAGATGTTTTCTAGTGGCAGCTATGCAGGTTGAAGAAACATTTAGTAACACAATGACCATTTTTCTGCCTGAAGTTACTGCCTGAGTTATAAATTGTATAGAAAAATGGACCAGACAAATCTGAAGTAAGGACTTACCCAACTAAATAACTGAGTAAAGCATCTTCTTTTTTTTTTTTTTTTTAGGTCACACAGCAAATGTGATTTCAAGAAACGAACATATTTGGATTGTGTGCAGTCAGACACATAACTACAAGTGCATGATTTCTGATGGCATTGCAAAGGAAGTTTTGATAGGATGTGATACTGCTACAAGGTGAGTAAACTGACCTTCCAGTAGATCAGCACCTACCAAAGAGCCCCCAGCTCTCATTGTTTATACAGTGTCGGTGTTGGCTACACCCATTGCTTCTACACCTGAGTACATAATCCTCTTTGACAGCATGATCTGCACAGCAGCTGGGGCTCCAGTACTGTAAACAGTTTTGCAAGTGATTAAGGGCAAGCAGGTGACTGCTATCCTGCAGGGGCCAATATTTTTAGTGCCAGAAAATTCTGAGACAGGATGGGGAACACAGGAACTTGTAAGTAATGAAGAAACAACCTGCCGGTTTCTTTCCTGCTCCCACCACTGCTCAGGCTGCTTTCCACACACCTTGAAGAACACATGGATAATCAAAAGCCAATCCAGATTTTATAAGTGTTTTAACAAATACTGGTAGTAAGTCAAATGTATTTCATGAATCTCTGATTGCTCTTTCAATTTGAGTAGCAGAGGCTTACAGTATACATCAGCGTGACAGCTTTAGGCTTCAGATAAGCAAGTATGCTATTTGAATTCCCTAAAATTATTTCTACTTATAATAGGTTTGAATTTGATGGGTTTTATTCCAGCATATAGACAAATTCTAAATCTGTGCTACATAAAGCCAATTAAAAAAAAATAATTCTGGCTTCAGTTGTGTTTAGATCCCTAACACTTAATAAAATAATTCTGTAACTGAAATGGAGTAATGGTCAACTGGACAACCACGTTTATTAGAAAAAGTCTTAAAAAAAATTCAACATAAAGTCCCCAAAGGGCACATTGAAAGCAATACAGCCAGTTCTAATTCTGTAAAGCTTGGCACCTCTTGTACATATCCTTATCAGCATTGTCAACTCATGCTTTTGTTGCAACTTGTTATGTGCTGGGTTCAAGACTTGAGTTCTGAAGTCATATGCAAATGTAAGAAATTCTTCAATTTTTTAGAAACTAAATTTCTGATCATAACTGCAGAAAAGATTAATATGACTCAGATGAAGCACAGTATCATCAGAAAGATTATTATATGCTTTTTATATCTCAATTTGTATTCTTATAGCTGGAAGAGTTGAGATGTGAGCTTTGTGCTGCAGTCATATATTAAAAGAGTTTTTATGAGCCTGCACTTTTTTATAGGGTTTTTTTACATCTTGAGTGAATCAAAGAATTGCAGTGTTATATCAGCAATCTTGTATCTGACATTTAATGATGATACCTCTAACCTTCCCAGCTTCCACTACATTTGATTCTTGTTACTTCTCCCTTGTCTTTCCTTCCCCTCTTACACTCTAGGAAGGACACACAGTCAGAGCAATACTGATTAAAAGCAAAATTCACATTCAGGCAACTATGGGAGACAATTTGCAGTCTCAGATTATAAACTTGAGATACTTCTATTGTTTCTGCCATCTGCTTTCTTCCCTGAAGCTTTTGAACTGGACCCACTGCAACATTATTAATTACACTTAAACTACTACTGTGAAGTAGGAAGCCACCCTTTATTAAAAGGCAGCAACTACAACAACAAACCCTCATCTCCTTCAAAAACCCACCAAAATCCTTTTGACACCTACCAGCTCTTCCCTGTGATCAGGTCCTAGATGAAACTATGAGTTTTTTTGCAGATGGGTCTCTGAACACAGTGGTCTATTTACGTACACACTGTGCTAAGAACAAACCCACACAAATTAAAATAAAGACCCAAGTAGCTGAAATAGCGTCATTTTAATGGAAACTCTCCTTTTGCACTTTGTGTGGAAATAACAAGTGCTTATACCAAGTGACTGTGATTTACTGCGAATTGCAGCAGTGTTAGAGTGAAGAAGGATGAGTAAAGGAAAAAATTATCTCAAGAATCTGTCAGGTGTTTTACCATCAGAGCCTGCTTAAGGTCTGTGGACAGAAACACAGCTGTGAAAATGAGACCACATAGCAGGGCTTGCAGCCTAAGGTTATTCCTTCTGCCTGGGGAACGGGAGAGCCAGATCACTGCTACTTCTAGAAGTGCATCCCACTCCTCTGCCAGGGACAGCAGCTGCCCCACAATCATCAGCCCTGCCTGGGCTGGCAGCAGGGGCAATAGCTCAGCCAGCCTGGCTTTCCAGAGCTCTTGCACAGCCAAACCAGGCAGAACCCTATTGCTTCTCTCAACTGCCTTCTGACTGCTTTATATACAAGAAGTCTTTCTTTAACTGAGCCACTGTGGTCACTCTTTAAGAACAATTTTAAACAATGTTTCTATGTGCCTCTTATGTACAAGAGCTGTATTTCTAGAATTTAATAAGGTCATCCTGGAAACACTTCAAGTACTGTGTACTAATTAACTTATAAAAGTACTTAGTACTTTTGTTGCCAATGACCCATCTGAATGAGAAAATCACATCCAAATGGAAGTCCTATGCAAATGAGCTATTGCATTAGGAAAAAGTGTGCTAAATAGCTAATTGGTTTAAATAGATGTTTGACTGGAAACAGTGAATAGTGTATTCATTTGACAAGGATGCAGAATTACTGGAATCTCTTTCGATGTATAAATACACATGAATATTTTATGATACTCTCATGCATGTGACATCAATACGCATGCTGTACAGCACTTCTTATTGGAATAAGGATGTTAGGTAATGCTGGATTTTGTTTTATGGGAATGAAACACAGGAGGATTTAACATTTTTATGGGAATTTTAACTATGATATCTGACCAGTTGGTTCAAGGTAGAGCTCAAATTAAACTTAATTGCAGCAGGTAGCCTAGACAGTTGCCTAAGGAGAAAGGCACACTTCCAAACAACAAGCGATGGCCACTCCCAAGGAACACTCAAGGAAAGTCCATTTCACGCAAATATTTTTTTTTCAGGGCTACAAACAAAACCTGCCATTGGAGTCCAGTTCTTCAACTTATGACAATTCTGCATGTCTGAACTGAAGCTTTTCACATACGCTGAAGTACATCCCTCTAGAATAACATGGTCCCAACACTAAAGTACTATACACTATGTTACAACATGAACTTTCCCAAATTGATAAAATGAGGGATTGACAGTTCAAACTTACTTTTTGAACTTGTTTATTATCCCACTTTCATTTTTCTTGATGTCATGCACCATCTTTTGAAGCTTCCTGTAAAATATTAAACAAAGCCAGCATTAAAATTACCAAATGATTGAAAATCCATTTATATAAATTAAGAAAAATATGCTTAATATGTCTTCAATAAGTAGTTTAGTTGCTAAATCATTTGTGCATAAATTTTTCCTCCCTTTTTAACAGAGCCCTTTAGCATTGTTTGTGTTATCCTTCTTAATACAATTACATGCAGTTTAAACAATCAATTTGAGTGAGTGCCATCAGGAAGAAACATCATTGCCTAAATTAATAGTTTAGAACATTTCAATGTTAACATTTTGTCCAGATCTGACTTCACAACACTGCATAGCTATAGTGGGAATGCCCTCTGATTTCTGACCCTACATGGGACACTCTATCTCATGCCCACAGTGTTTGCAGTTACAATAGCAGGGGAAAGACAATACATTCCTGGGCCCAGGCCATTTGAGAAACTATTAGAGCATTGATGACTCTGAGCTGTAAAAACTCATGATCTTAGGACTCCAGTTACATGGACTAATATCTAGAATTGTAGATTGTTTTATTAATCACCTGCATTGACATAATTAAAATTTTACTTGTAATCAAGGCAATTTAAGTTGAATATTTTTCACTTTTCAAGTATCATTTAGAATCCCACCTCCCTTCTCATTTAAAAAATCCACACCACTAAAATCAAGTCAGTGTCAAGAATACAGATAGAATTTTTAGCAAAAGACTGACTTAATAGTGAAACCTGTTCAAAGTCTGCAGATACCAGAAACTTCTATAGAATGCACATATATTTTGAGTTTCTTCTCACAGTGTGTGTTCTTCCTGTTCCCCTAAACTTTGCATTTTTTATTAGAACTGAGCTGAAGATTTTAGCACAACCAATAATGTATTGATTTTTTTTTTCCAAAAAGCACTTAAAAAAAATTGGCCGTCCATTCTTCATTACACATTGTCCATGTCATTCCACGTTTTAGTCTTCCCTACTTCCTCTCTGATGCACAGTCAGGCTACCAACAGACTCTTGGACGCTTTGCTTACAAAGAGAAGTACAAGCATCCAAGTACTCTTTCTTCTTTTTAAAGCTTTCTTTAAACTTGAAATCTTATTATTCAGAAGGTTGAGTAACACATAGTTTCACTAAAAAAAGGCATCTTCCAGCTTCATCACTAGTAATTAAAAACTTTCTCTTAAAAATTAAAATAGTTTTTTCAAAGGAAATTGGAATTAGATGAGAACTAGCTAATCAAAATCCGGGGGTAACTGCACTAATGTGATTATTTGTCTGCAGTCCTCGGTTTGGGCTGAGCAGACATGTAGCACTCAAGGCATCAGGTAGCAGCTGAATATTAGACTTCTGCTGGAAAGGACCTTCCTACCTCTGCTCCTGATTTTAGAGCAATTGTGTTAGGTAGTGATAATTAGTCACATTTTATGAGACTTGCTTAAAAAAAACCAGTTAAATAACTGAGTGTTTCTAAGTTTTTAGAAGACTAAATAATAAAGCTTGATTTTATTCTTAATAATGTTTATTAACAGAACAGAAACAACGGATCTTTTCACTATATTAGCCGAATTTGAAGGATAACCCCTGTAATACCATAACATGGTATATAATGCTCTGACAAGCTAAAACATGGGTCTGGTACTTAAAGGGCATTCCTAGAGCCTAAATCTTTGCCCAAATTCACTTAAAAAGCAATTCAGCCTATTCTTTCTAGATCCTCAATTCAGAAAAAAAAAAAAGAGAATAATGGACAAATAATTCACAAGCCCATCTTTAACTTTTGCTGAAAACTCAAACCATTAATTTACAGCAAAATGACACAGTGTTACCTGCTGACATAAAGCAATAAATTACTTATAGGGGTGAAAAACAGGTGCACAGCAACATGTTCCAAGATTTCCATCAAGAATGCACTACACCTACAAGAGTAGCTTGGATTATTATCTGAACTAACCAGATACATTAAATCTGGGGTGAAAAGCTCAGATGAACTTCTGCTTTTCTGTAGTATTTGTTGTTGGTTTTTTTCCTAACAGATTCAGCTGCTGGTTATGCTCGAAACATCATACACAGCCATTTTCTGCAGTTTACTGTTTCTGTATTGTGCCCCAGCTGGCACCTGGCAGTGTCTATAAATTAAAAGTAATGAGGAATGAAAAGACTGAGAGGAGATTTAAATGGTTGAGTTCTAGTTTGGGGAGAATGATTGTCTTCAAGTGTTTGTGTTTCTTTCAGAAAGGCTTGCCAGACTTCAATTAGGCATACATGTAAGCAACAGTTACATTTCCTCCTGTGTTTGTTCTTTGTTTGAGATGGGACTGAAACATCATCAACAACAAAATCTAATTGTAGAATTATATCTGAATATTGCTCATTGCTCAGTGCTGACATGAACATTAGCTGAAATACGGCTTTATTTTGAAAAATTGGGCTTTTTTTTCACCTTACTGGTTGTATTCTATATTATTATTTGGTCACTTAAAAAAACCTCCAACACACACACATACACAAAAAAAACCCACCCCGAAACTCATACTTATAGGTACCCAGAAGAGTTTGCTCTTCATTTTATCATATTCAGGTGGATTGATTAGAGTATCATGGGTCTTTCATGAGTTTTGAATAAGACTATAGCTTAAAAGATCATTCTAATACATATTTTTTTTAAAAAAGTGCATTTAGAGATAATCACACACGCTGCTGCTGGTATGCTATTTTTTCCATGTAGATGGACTGAAATCAAAGCACTCCCATTTTTGCATAATTGAATTTCCTAAAAATCTGTGACTCTTATTTCTTATTTTTTTTTATGGAGGCATTTCATTTTCTAATTACAACTTCGTTAAATTAGAGAGTACCTAATACGTGTTTTTCTCAATCTTTAAAATGACATAGCTCTTACAGGAGTTGTTAGAAAACTTGTTTGTTGCCTCCACACAATTTAACTTGTATCAAGCCTCTGTGAGTAAGCAGATAACCAGTGCACTGTGTAGTGGTAAGTGTAGGAAGTCATCAGCTATGGCTGATCTCCAGTTCAAGTGGAATCCCCTTTGACCCATAAAGTTGAACAAACTGCACAAACCAGTCTATCCAGTTAGCTAGAGGCTGAGATTTCTCGAGCTGCCAGGTGACATAACAGGCAACAACTGAAAAGTTTTACAAAGAGCTGTCTGTCTGACTTGAGATCTTAAGGAGACAGTAGAAATGACGAGAGGCAGGCAGGAAAGTGTATGGCAAGAGGATTCTCCAAATCTTAAGGGTCTTGATTCCAAGCCTGAAGGCCGCTCCAGAGCGATGAGGAAAGGGAAGCACAGAAGGGCATTTCTACACTTAACATTTTGCCTGGATCTATGTATCTGACCAGCACTAAAATACTCTTGTATGGCTCTCAGATACTTAAGATTATACTCCAAGTAAAGAGGTTCATTGTGGGAGGGATTTATCAGAGCAGGAGCCCTGAGAGTATCTAGGAAATGGAGGCTACCATGGCCCAATGTAGACAGCTCTTGCTTCAGATACATAACTACAACCCTCTTTCTTCACAACATCTGAGTCAGGACCTTGTTACCAACTAATGTTTATCCTCTAGTGTTCTCTTGGGATGAGCAGATGAGAGAAACATTTAAGGACCTCAGTCAGCAAGTACTGTAAATGAAAATAATAAGTAATGCCAGTTTTACCTTGCATTGCAGGTAATTAAAGATAATCAAGAGGTCAAACTTAAGAGTTGCTTCTTAACTACAAGCACCAACTCTTCATTCAATCTGGTTGAGAGCTTTTTATGTAAAATCAGGCTTGCAGACAAAGGTGCAGTCTGTGTCACTGCTAATCTTTGAAACATGTTTCAGCAATAGATAGATATTTTGAGATCCAGCTTAATTGTGACAGGTATAGACTGGATGGGACCCTTTTGATCAGGAACTCACTGAAGACAATAGATTTTCAAAGTTCTGCAGATGAGAAGTTTGGAAGTTTTGGCTCTGGGTGCTTCCAAAAATTTTTAGGTTTCTTAAAATACATTAGAAATCCTACATGTTGGAGGTAATAACAAAAAAAAGAATCTTAAAATGAAACACTTTTTAGCCCTGTGTTGCTATTTTTCCTATCTTACCAATTTGAACCTCCAGTAATTTAGGATTATGAAATCTATTGACGAAGGGGTGACTACCTGTGTAAAGGAAGGTGGAAAATTTTACCACTGCAAATACCACATATTCTGAAAGAAGGATTTGCTGTGTCACAAAATACCTAGCTGCACTCAAGGACTGGCAGAGCTGCCTTGAGATGAAATAAAATGAAACAGAACTGCCCTCTCTTTGATCTGGTCACAGCTCAGCATATGAGGAATGCATGATGAGTGAAGGAAAAAAGCTGGGTGGACCTGGCCTGTGACACATTCCCACCTTCAAACATCAGCTGGAAGCTTTTGGCTCTTGCATATACACTATGCTACAAAAGCTTTCTAAAGTTAAAATAATTTTTAGAGGAGAAAAATATAAATAATATAAAGAAGAATAAAGTGTGCAACAAGCTCTCAACTCAGACATGAGATAAGGTAGAGAGTCCCCAGATTTGAAAAAGAGGAATCTGTCTTAATTTCAGACAGATCTGTATAATGTGGAATTCTCCCACCATTTAGACTAATTTTTGAGAAATGTTATTTATCAGTATTATAAATCTGTGAAGACATTTACAAATATCTATTACGTAGATCAGTGTATTATGGCTCAGACCAGTCATCATGAATGGTTCCTTAGTTATCATGACCTTTTCCTGCTCCTCGAAACAGGGAGGGATCTGCTGTGTGCATGAACAGCACGGTTCACCTCCTTGCACACAGGGAATCCAGTACTTTGTACCTTCAGTGTGCACACTGGTTGTATTTTAGCTGTACAGCTGCCTGTGTCACATGACAAGTGACAGCCCACAGCAAGTGACGCCCCTCTGCTCTAATAGTATCTTAGAGTCTCTGGAGTGGGCAGATGGGACACAGCTGCTTCAGGGTGTCTGGTTG